TAGGGCAGTGATTATAATGGTGATATCTGGGATTCACAGCTCTCAGGAGCACGTGAATCACGGCTTACGTGATCGGTGAATTAGATGGGTATATCTGACTCACGTAGGTAGTAGTAATTTAGAAAGATAGCATCAATCACATCACAAGACTTATATCACCTACCCTACCTATTCAGAGCTCGCAGGCATAGCCGAAGTACTAAATTAGGCTTCACATAAGCAGTGAAGCCCTCTCAACAAGCAGACATATAACCAACGCGGCGTACGAACGCAATGGTTGTTTTTGATGGCCGGAGTACTCATTGTAGTCGGAACTATCAAAAAGAACTGTGATGGTTGGCACGGATGGCTGGCACGAATGGCTGAGCGATAGCCAGGCGAATCTATGAGTGACTGACGCATGGTAATTCAGCTGTCTACAATCTATGATAGCAAAGAGATCATGCTGTTGCTAATCTGTTGACCTTTTGCACGAAATCCAAGCTGTAAAACTTGAAACAATGAATTCGATGTCGTTATTCGATATCGCCTGTAGCTATCAGTGCAGTTGGGTGGTAGACTCTGAACAATAAGCTGCGCGCTCGATCAATTTGGGCGTCCATCATGCGATACGATAGAATTGATTTTGCATTCGAAGTCGACTTTCAACCCCAAATGAGCTTTGGCTTAATTTGGTGAGCACCTCCGATGACCCAGGTCTGACGAGCCAGTGTTCTTCAGATGTGTTCGTGAAGGGGACCTTCTTATTCCGGGTTAGCAAGTGAGGTGCATTTCGGGCCCATGCCGTTTGAGAACCAGAGGCAAGGTCTGATTGGATTGATAGCGGATCCGACGGCATAAAATTAGATCATGCGGAAGGGCGGCACAGCAGATGCGATTGTCAAATTTCACGATGGCTTCATAGCAAATAAATACTGGGACGGGACCTGCATCGCGTGACAGCCTTGGCGTTGCTTGTCTGCCAAAGTAAAATCGTTCCCCAGGAGCCGACCAGAAAAAGAGCGGTCATTCACCGCGTGGTATCACTTTTACGAACATTGTGTTCATCATTTCAGAATGCCGACAACTACCTGGGCCTCAGACTTTGACCTGGTCAATCTCGGCCCTCTGACCACCACCTTCACAGCTCCGCCTGAATGTACCCTGCCGGTCCAAGGTGTCGGGCTCGGCCCCGACGCTTATGAGCCTGACTACATCCTATGGAACCAACAATGCGACATAGTATCGGCTGGCAACTGTCTCCCGTCGGGGTCTACAATGGACGATGATTACAATTCTCGCACCGGTCAACCAAATCGAGGTTATCAGCTTTACTACTACTCGCCAGCTGCGGCGTGTCCGGCAGATTGGAAGACTGTCGGCCTTGTATCACGAGCCAACGATGGCTCACTGTCGTACAGCGGAGTTTTTGATCCGTCGTGGGTAACGCGTCCCGAGGCATCGGTAACGACGAAGACAGTCTTTAACCCCCTCGTCCATCGATGGGCGAATGCACTTGGCCCTCAAGAGACCGGAATCGCATGCTGTCCCAGGTGAGCTAAATCCGCGACTTGTCGAATGAGCACAGAACGTCTGACATTGCACCCAGCGACTGGATCCCTGATATAAACGCGTTTTGCTTCTCTAACTTCCCAGCGGGCAAGTTTCCGGGCACAACAGCATGCGGCATCGAGAACACGAATTGGCCTCCCGGAACATACGTACCGGGATCTTTTCCACTTGGCAATCAGACCGTGACGGGCATAAGTGTTGAGCCTGACACGACACTCGACTCATCAGCTCCGAGACAACTTTTCCTTCGGGTACTGGGCCACAGCTGATG